CTTCTTAGATATAAAGATAATTAAATTCGGATTAAGATTATTAAGAATATTCTAGTACTTTTTACTAATAGTAAAATAATTAGTATATATCTAAAATATTACTATTTTAATTATATTAGTATAAAAACAGCTCCGGTAATAATAATAAATATTTTAAAAACTATTAAATAAATATTTAATATTAATACTATTAGTAGTAACCGAAAGAAAATCTTTAATTATTTAATAAAAAATAAAAAACTAATTACAGCGGGACTTTTAGTAAATAAAAATATTAATATATTTTATAATATCTAAAATAATATTAGTTTAATTAAAAATATCTTTATAAACTATATATTTTTAATATCTAAATATATTTTAAGTTTTTTAAATATTTTAGCTGCTAGTAAGAATCTTTAATATTTAAAAATATTATAAAAAACTTTATTTAGGTCTAATAGTAATCCGAAAATAGTTAATAATATATTAATAATTAGATTCTAATTATAATAAAAATAAAATATTTTTTTAAAAACAGTTCGGTACTTATAATACCAGTTAATATTATTATTTAATTAGATATTTTTTTAAATTTTTTAAACTTTAATATTAGATTTAGAATAATTATGATTATATAAATATAGTCTTCTATCTAATAGATATAATAGTAGTATTTTTAAAGCTTTTAATATATATTTTATAAGTCTTTAAGAATCTTCTTTTTTTAGAATATCTACTTTCTTACTAGTCAGTTAATTAAATAATTTAAATAATTAAAAAAATTATTATAAATATTATAAATTTTATAAATAGTAGGTCTACTGTTCTTAGATAGATAGAGTATAAAAAAAAAGAAATATAAAAGCTTAAAAAGATATTTTATTTATTTTTATTTAGTTATAATAAAATAAAAATAATTAATATTACTATAATTATAGTATTAAGTAAAACTTTTAATTACTTAATAAAAATTAAATATCTGGTAAATTATAAGATAGGTTAAGTTTTAGCAAGTTTTATAGTTAAAAAAAAATAGTAGACTAAGTCTAATTTAAATTATTAAATAAACTAAAACTTTTTATAATATTAAAAGCTTATATTTATAAATTATATAATTTTCCGAATCTATAATTAAGAATTAGTAAAATTAGCTATTATTAAAAAAAATCTTTAAAACCTGTTTATAAAAAATTAATCTAAATAGTTTTTATTATAAATAATAGAAGCTTTTTATATTAGTCTTTTATAAATAATTTTTAGAATATATTTTTTTAAAAGTTTTTAAAATATTAAAAGAGGCTTTAAAACTTCTATTATAAATCTTTTATATATATTTAATAGTACTGTTTGAGACTTTAATCCGAAGTTTTTATAAAAAAATATTAACTATAAACTAAATTATATAAATAAAACAGAATATATAATATTAGCTTTAAATAATTATTATAAAATTAGAATAAAATAAAATATTATAAAGCTGAATACTCTGGCTAAGCTAAGTTTAAAATTTAAATAAAATTATATTAAATATTAAACTATTATTACTAATATTATTAGTTATTATATCTAATAACTAATAAAATAGATTATATTTATATAAAACTAATAAAATAATTATAATTAGATTTTTATTAATATAAGATCTAAATACCGGTCGAAAATCCAGTAAAACTTTATAATAATTTATATCTTCTATTAAAAAATATTTAGTTAAAATAAAAAATACTTTTTAATTAGAGCTGGTTTAATAGACTATTATAATTAATATTTATTTAATATTTAAAAACTTTAATAACAGCTGTATATATATATTTTTTAATAATTCTAAAAAATATTTTTTAATCTGTATTTAATTAAAAGAACTTAATTTTTAGTAGAAAAATAAAATTATAAAATTAATTATTTATTTAAATTAAATATACTCGACAGTTCGGAATAGTAGATAATAGATAATTATAAAATATAGAATTTAATTCTAAAAGTTTTATTTATTATAGACTACAGAGGTCTAAAAAAAATAATAATTAAAAAAGATTTATTTTTAAAAAATAAGTAAATATTTATAATAACTTTTTATTTAATATCTGGTTGATTATTTACTTAAATATTATTAATAGAATTTTTTTTTATAATTTTTATAAAGATAATAGCTTATAGAACTAGTTTCTAAGTTTTTAATTTCCGAATATTATAAAATATAAAAAAATGCAGTATAATAGATATAAAAAATTCTATTAAAAAATAATATATTTTTTTAAAAATTATTTTATATTATTAATATCTTTTTTTAATTAAAATAAAATAATAGTTTTTAAGCTCGCATACAGGCTTTAAAAAAATTATTTTTTATTATTAATTTTAGAAAATAGAAAGTTTTTTCTTATAAATTGGATATAAAATAATCTTCTGATTTTTTATAACGCATATAATCTGGAGATTTAGAAAAGAAGAAAAAATCTAGTTTAAAAAACTTATTTTAGTTAAAATATTATTATAGTTTATAAAAATCTAAAAAATAAAAAAAAAGCTTAATAATATTTTCTAAAAGTAAGCTAGATAACTATAATTAACTTATAATTTTAAAACTACTCTATAAATAATAGATATAAAAAGATAAAAATAGAAAATTCTATAAAAATAGTTTATTTTATTTTAAGATATACTTTTATATAAATATAATTTATTATATTTTAAATACAGCTAAAGCGCCTGCTATATTTTATTTATTTTAAAAGATTTAATAAACAGGAATTATATTTTAAGCCCAAAATTATAAAAATTAAATTAATTAAATTAGTTAGATTATTCTTATATTAATAAAAAAAATCTAAAAAAGGCTTTTATAGAATCCTCTAAAAAATATAATATTTAATATTTAATTAGATAATTATTAAAAAGTACAGTTGCTGAAAAAGACTATATAAATAGTATTATATAAATATTATAATATAGTTCTAATTTTTTCGACTTATTTATTTAATTTATTTAATCTATTTAATCTGCTTAATCTATTTAATCTACTTAATTTATTCGATCTGTTTAACTTACTTAATCTATTTAATCTATTTAATCTATTTAATTTATTTAATTTATTTAATCTATTTAATCTACTGAACCTGCTGCCTCTAATTATTCATTATATAATTTTAAATTTATTTAAAAATCTTTTTATTTTTAAATTTTTTTATAGTTTTTTAAGCTATATCTTGTCTATAAATCTAAAAATAGTCTAACTAAGTAATTAGTTAAAAATAAAAAAATAAGTTATTAAAATATTATTAATCTATTATTTATTTTATTATTCTATTTATTATTATTTATATCTATCAGCCTGTAACTTAACAGCAGATCTTTTTTTAAATTTAATTTATAATACAGATAATTTAGCTTTTTTAGATAAAAAATAAGAATATAATAAACTATTTAAGCTGGAATAAAAAAAATAATAAAATAAAAATAATATATTTATTTTTAGTAATCTAATTAATAATAAATATATAGTTTTTTAACTATTATATAATATAACTAAAATATACAGTTCAAACTAAGCTATAATTATATATATTTATATATATTTCTTACTGTAAAAACAATAGTTTTATAAAAAGCTAAATTTTATTAATATTACTAGAATTTTTTAATTAATTTTTCTAAATAGAAATAAAAAAGATACTAATACTTTTCTTAATTATTATTTTTTAATTTAAAAAGCTTGTTTCTGTATATTTTTAGATAATAATTAAGATGGTTAAGTTAATAACTATTTAATCTAAATATATATTAATTATACTAGAACCTAAATAAATATAATAAAAGAATCTTAGTACTAAGAACAGTTAAGACAATTAACTGTCTGTTTTTTAGTTATACCGCGGTCAGGTATAAAAATTTTTTTAACCTGGCTATAACCTGGCGGTCAGGTATAAAAATTCTAATTAACCTGACCTGACCTGGCCGTTAGCCACTCTAGTCTTTAATATTAAGACAATTACTTAAAAGAGTTTTTATTACTGTTTAAAAATCTTAAAAAAACTAAGTCTTGTTAAAACTATTATATTTTTTTTTAAAAAAACTGCTAAAGAGCTTTAATATCGGTATAATAAAATAAAAATTTAAAAATTAAGTCGGACAGCAAGTTCAAAATCAAAATAATTATAATTTCTTATTTTTTTTTAGTTTTTTCTATTATATCTTTATCGTCTTTATCAGCAGTCTTATTAGTAAAAATATCCTAGACTAAATAAACTTAAAGTTAAGCTTTAATACAGAGGTTTTAAAAGTACTAATTCTACAAGCTAATAAGAATATATAAAAACTTGGCGATTTCAGGCATTTCAGTAGTAACAATAATATATTTTATTAATAAAAGAACTTGGCAATTATAAAAAGCTTTAAGTTTAATAAATAAAAAAATAAATAACACGTATTCTAGAATCTTAAAGAGGCTCCGGGCTTATAACCTATCAGCAATTTAAGATCTCAGGGATAAGGTATATAGAATATATTCTTAATTCTCTTAGTAGTTAGAACTAACATACTAATATAGGAAGCAACTTAGCAACGCGGTGCGTCACGTGGCCGGATTACTCAGCTATGCTGACATAGAACAAATCAGATAGACCGTAAGTGTCAATAGCAAGTGCCATTTCATATTCCACTCTTGATCCTAACTTTGCCAGCAAAAGAGAAACGAAGTAAAGAAGAATCGAACAACAGCTGGTGCACTCACTGCACCGTATGTAGATGCCAAGACCGTGACGATGCTCTTGCGTTCGGCGCTAGCGGGCTTTTGCCGATTAGGGCTACCCGATGGGAAGCGCATAAAGGGGAAAGAAAACCAGACATAAATAGGGACAGAACGCGGCACATCATGGCGATATATCGTACTTAAAGTTGATAACATACACATTAGACATTCTTCATTTTTGCTACTGTGCAGAAGATGTCACCGCACCCAAGATCGCTGCTGGTGTTCGGTGCGTCGAGCCCCCACGGGCCAACAGATTGTGGCCGAGGCCCTCCGGACTGGGTGGAAAGTTACCATCTATGGCCGTCAGATCCTGCCGATCCACGCCCAGAACGCTGAGATTACAGTAAGAAAACCACGCTCTTTCTATTCTTCCCTTTCCTGCCTTTGCCCTACTCGCTTTTCCTGCGTTGGAAATTCAGCTAGCTTACAAAGAATCGGGGCTAATCAAATGACTTTATGCGGAGCACACAGGCACTAGAAGGCACGCTACAGGATGAAGCCCAACTCCATCGCGCAATCCAGGGTCAAACTGTCATCGTCTCCGTGCTGGGCCCGTCCGGAATGACGATGAAAGATACCCCGTTTCCAGACTTCTACCGGCGCGTCTTCCGGCTGATGCGCGAGTTGCATGTCTCCCGTAGCCTCGCGCTGAGCACTTTCAGCGTCCCCCATCCGCGGGATCGGTTCAGTCTCCCGTGCAGCGTGCTGGTGGGAATGCTCCGGGTCCTGGGGCGCAGCGCATGGCGGAATCTCATCGAGGTGGCGCGGGCGTTTGACGAGGATGCTCAAGACTTAGAGTGAACGTTGTTTCGAGTCGGATTTCTGAAAGACCAGGGGCCTGGGTTGGTGGTGGAGGGTTATGTGGGTGACGGGGCGTTAGGGTTAGGGGTCAATCGGTGCGACGTGGCGCGGTGGGTGTCCCAAATGAATATCTATGAGACTGAGATGGGAACGGCTGGGGGATTTGGCCGGAAACTAGGCAGTTTAAAGGAATATAGTATCCGTACTGTACAGTACCTAGTAAGGTAAATGGCAAATGGGAGTCTTGGCCTAGAATCGTTTGTCTTAGCAATTATGGGGACCGTATCTGATCACTTAGTGTGGTAATATAAGTTGGACGCTTTCTCCCCGCATGCAGACCCTTTAAACACGGATGGAGAGAACTCGAAACCCTTCCACGTGACCATGTCAACCCCTCATCATGATTATACAGCCGAGTCGTGCTTCTCTTGCCGGATCAAGAAACGGAAATGCGACCGACTGATGCCTGCGTGCTCGCGATGCAAGAAGTAAGAGGATTGTAAATCTGGAGGGGGAAAAAGTCTTATATCTAAAAGAAAACTAAAATGGATAAATTCGTCGGATTCTCAGATCGTCCCAACAGTGCCTGTACGGAGGCAATGTGGTCTACGGCAGTATTGTGCCCATCCGGCATGAAAAACTGCTGCACGCCGTCCCCACAGCTGTTTTTCATTCGTCACAAGTCCCCGCTGAGGTATTCTTGTTCCGCGGTCGCAAGTCATGTCGCAGATGCCGGCTGCACAAGAAATCCTGCGACAAGACCCACCCCTCCTGTGGCCGTTGCAAAAGGTAAATCGCCGACTAGCCCGGTGCTTCATCCTCACGACCGTGTCACCCATGCCTGCACTGGCAACCTTTGTAGGCTAGATGCGTGCTGCAACTACGATGACCTAGTTCGAATACAACGCCTAAATTCGCCGCATCTCTCCTCGTCAGCGTCAATGGTTCGAGATTTGGACCTTCAACCTTCGTATCCCATTGAACCTAAGCCCTACATCCCGGGCCCCATTCGATTTTGTAAGTGAGATAAGAGACCCTGCACCGGCAGCTACAGTGAGCTTATGCTTTGGCTCTAGTTCAGGAGCAGATGGGGCTAGCCGCCCTGCAGGTCGAAGTAAACAGCATTGCTTATCATCTGCGATCTTCGTGGATTCGCCATGCTCTTACCGATCCCTGTTTGTTCCACACGACACTTTACACGGCCTCGGCCGAGATGGACGCTATGCGTGGGACGCAAGGCACCACCACAAACTACGCTACCCTGTACCATCAGACCAATACGATTCGACTGTTGAACCGTCGCCTGGTCCATGGGGGCCTAATGGACGATGCGACGATAGCCTCTGTACTTCTTCTGGTAATAAGTGGGGTACGTTTTCGGTTGACCGGCCCCATCCCCATTTTGCATCGTGACACCGTCGCTCAAGTGCCCGTCGATATCTAGTCCATTGAAAAAGACCCGGATGCGACCGAAGCCCACCGACAGGGCCTCCTCCGCATGGTAGCACTGCGAGGGGGACTCAAGCAACTAGAATTCGACGGCATTCTGGCCGAGATGATTGAGATGAACATGGTTCTTCCCATGGTCGTCTTCGGCCAGACCGACTCCGCGCTGCCGGCGCCCGTCAGCCCGGCTGAAGCCCTACCCGACAGCCTCCCGAGCCTCGCTCTCGCCCGACTGCGCCGGGGCGGCTCGAGAATCAATCCCACCCTACAATCGCAGCTATTGCGCGTCCTCGAGCACATCCAGGACCTCTTCCACGCCCTCGTGCAACCCAGCGAGTCTTCCAACCTCTGGGCGCTACTCGACAACGGCCCCCCGACCGTCGAGTTCACCACGACCGGGGAGTCAACCTGGAGCAGCAGCGAGACCTCCTTCCTCCGCCCCTGCCAGCTCTCCATGACCCTCCTGCGAACGCTGGCAGATCCCAGTCTCCCTTGGCATCCCGACACCATCGCCGTCCTCCTGCGCGACCTCAACACCAGCATCGCCCAGACCGATCCGGCCACGCGCCCCCGCTACGCCCCTGAGGCTAGTCTCTGGGCCACCGCCCTCGGCATGGCCGTCTCCCCGGATGTCCACGGACGTCTGACCTTCTTGATCAACGAGCGCTGCGTCGTTCTTGCCGTTTCCAACTCCAAGACCACGGCCCTGCACGAGCTCTTCCTCGACTGTTACTGCTGGCTTCGTGCCCTCGTCGAGCTTCGTCAGCCTCCGGCTTTGTCACCTCTGCCTTCCACTCCTCCCTCCCTACCATTCCCTCTCGAGTAGCTGAAAATACCTGCTATTCGTTCTGGCTCATGCATTGGGGCCATCAGAAAGTCCTTTTCAAGAATATTAACCGATATACTCGAATAATGGAGAATGATAATAAAGCTTATCGACGGCGGTCCTGCGGCCTCGCCCAGGCTGCTGCTCACCGCCCACCGGTGGCCTTAGCTAGTTCCTCGCAGATGGCCCAAGATAGTCAGAATCCAAGCATCTTCCACCTCTTTCGCAAGTGTCACAACTTATCAATACTAAAGGAGGAAAGAACAATGAGACAGATCCGGCAACATTCTACTCCCCCGTCTGTGCACTTCCACAGACGTATAGATGGCCTCCTGCCGGGAATCATCACATACGACCACAGGGTGTGGAAAACAGGGCTTTCCGTCCGCTTAGTTGTATTTAAGCCACATATTGAATGCGGCCGAGTAGAATATAAGCTTTTTCTTAGTTACTGGTTTATAAATAAAAAAAGACTAAGACAAAAAGAGAGCTCGAGCAACTCTTGTCAATTACGTAAAGACTCAATTCTCCACGCGGTATCACCAGTTGAAATACCACATCTCTGTTGCTGGTGAATCCTTTCCTGATTGGATATATAATCAAGCCGCACAGAAGCATCTATATCCTTCTATTCTATACCAACCTTTCCGCCGAAGAGCCATACACTTACGTTCAACTTGGCGTGTAAAAATAACCACAAGACGCCAATGTTAGAACCACGAGCAATCCTCATAATCCCCCGTCTCCAAACACCTCGAAAATCACTCGACGTGGTCCTTCTCCTCGCTCCTCGGGATGCGTACAAACCCCACACAAACCCCCGCCGCCGCCAGCGAGATTGCGAAACTAAACCACCAAATCGCGCGTAAAGCACCCAAGTCCAGACTATAACCGTCACCGCCCGCTTGGGTGACTTCCTTCCCGATCGTATCTCCAATGGCCGTTACAATGGCCGCAGACAGGTTCTGAATCGTCACCAGGAGACTCCCGGCCGAGCCCTGAAACGAGCGGGGGACGTTCGACGTGATGAAGATGGACGCAGCTGCGAATGTCAGGTCCGGTCCGAAGGTCACGAGGGCAATTCCCGGCATCGACAGCGCCCAGTAGATGGTATTCGGCGTTTGGGGGATGAAGAAGACCGGACCCATGGTAGTGGCGACCATCCCGGCGATGAGGATCCAGTGTCCCGGGACGAGATGAAGCGTTTGCGACACGATGTAGGTGGCAAGGATGCCGCAGACCATATTAGGAATGAAGAAGAGAGCCACGGTGATTGGTGCATGGCCCTGGATTGTGAGGAGAAATCGCACGGCGAAGAACATCCATCCCCCGACATATGCCCCGTATCCGAGGAAATAGGAGATCGCGAGGGGGAGAAATCCGGGGGTCGTCCAGAGACGGTTATCGACGAGGGGTCGCGATGCGCGTCTTTCCGCGAAGTAGAATAGAACTAGAAAGACCCCTCCCACGATGATGAGGGAGTAAGTGTATGGGCTCCAGCCACTGGGGACGCCTTGCGTTAGACCGAGGATGATCAGCCCGCAGCCCAGGGCAGCGAGAACGGCGCCGAGGGCGTCGAAGTGTTTGAGAGATAGTTGGTCACCGGAGGAACCAGCCTTCGGGGCAAACGAAGGGATACCGTAGAAGGAGGCCACTGCGAAGATGAAGGAGGCTATGGCGTTACTCCCGAAGATCCAGGGCAGGTGTACTGTGAGCGCTCCGCCTTGCAGACAGCCGACGAGGAAACCTACGGGCGTCATTGCGGACATGACTGAAAATACCCTCGTTTTCCGAATCCCAGGCGAGTACACCCGCCCCAGTAGACTCATCGATGTCGACTGTAGGACGCCAATGGCGAGCCCCTGCATGGCGCGGACCACGAAAAAGAGGACTGGCAATGAGGGACGGATGCTAAATACCCCGACGATATTCCAAATGACCAGCCAGCCGAAGCCCAGAACCATGAGAAGCTTCGGGTTCGACAGGTCCGCCAGCGACCCAGAGACAATCACGGCGATGCCGTTCGCCAGCAGGAAGGAACCGATCAACCATGGCGTATTGCTTTCGCTCACCCCGAGCGCGTGAGGGAATACGGCCTGGTTGATAATGACGTTTCCGAGGAAGAGGCCGAAGAGGAACAGGCCCATGGAGCAGAGAAGGATGAATATTAACTCGCCCGTGAAGCCACTGAGCTCGGGAGGAACGCCCTGTGGGCGACGAGGAAGCACTACAGTCTCTTCTGTATGCCGCTCGGGAGCATTTTCGACGTCCAGAGCTGCAGGATGCTGGGCTTCTGGACACCCCTCTGACGCACTGGTCGTGTCTGTCCCGTCCCCGACCATGGGGAATGCCTCCACCGGCGGTTCATGAGTTACGCCTTTGCCTGGTAAACAACATCAGTCTGGGCTAGAAAGAAACCAAAGGGTAGTCATCGGCTTACCAGCTTGCCAGTCTGCAGCTTCCACCGGAGGAATCATGCTTGATCGCCACGAATGAAACTCGGTCGTTGAGTCAGACGCTTGGAGAGGCTCTCCTGGTTTGTACTGTCAGCTTATCAACCTGCACGGGGCCTGTTTCTTATAAAATGGCAAAGGTTCCTGGTACTGAGGCCAGACCAACGCATTAGGCAGAATCGACCTTCTATCTTCCTGATGGGTAAGGGACATAGGCAAAATGGGGTGGAACCAAGATAATTTCTATCCACATGGCGTCCATTGGGCTGGGATCGCCTCAGTAATTCTTATCCATTATCTCGACCAGGTCCTGCTGTAAATATTTCTCCCTAGGCTGTTCCAGGCGATTTTTTAGTGCGTGTAGTGACATGGCAAATTGCCCATCAGCAAATGGTGTGACGATACATCGGGTATAAGGAGGAGCCGAAGAGGTCTTGTTTCCGGTTATATGCTTGGCACCGCTTATATGGCTGACTCATCACCCCGTCCGTAACTACCCGTCCTTCCGCTGCACTCAACATGACATCGAGCATATATCGGCGCTGGTATTGCCGACATGAGCAATGGCAGACGCCACCAGATCGCGCAGGCGAGCTGGAAAGGCATGTACGCATTGCCATGAGAAACGGATCAAATGTGACGCCATGCACCAGATGCCGTGCACTCCCTGCGTGCGAGGTCGCCACGCGGATTGTGTGCTCCGGGAAACGAAACGTGGGACGTACGCCCGGAGCGCCCTGCGTCAGAAAAGATTCCGCAGCGATGAGACACGCCGGAGAGTCGCGGCTGCTGTCGACAATTATCCGACGCGGGCTGACGATCCTGGAGGAATACTACCTCCTGGATCCGATGCTGCTGCCCCTTTCGCAACCGGTTCCTCTGCGCCGGATTTGGCCACGTTAAGTTCAGGAAGCATCGGCCATGCCCGTCATCAGCCCGGCATCGAAGCCTCCAGCAATCAGGCTCAGAGCAGGCTTACAGCGAGTGAGCCTCCTCAGACCCCGGTTCCATCGGCGACGCCAGGCGACGCCTCCTCCTACCAACAGATCTCGTGGTCTGCCATGTTTGACCACTTCTTGAACAACCGCGAGAACGCACGGGACTGGATCGACAAATGCTCGATTACGTACCTCGGCGAGTCCTTCCCCCTCACCATCGTCTTGAGTGGCCCCAAGGACGGCAGGCAGCCGAGATTACACCACCTCGGCCCTCCTTTCCCGACAACCCAAGGAGATTCCCCCGCTCCGTCAGCACCGACACATATGCTCCCGGAGGACCTCGAATATCTCCGGGCCAAGGGCGTGTTCAATCGGCCGGGCAAGGCCCATCTGAACGCCCTAATGTCGGTCTTCCTGGACCACGTCTACCCGCTCTACCCGATCGTCAATCGCCAGGAACTGATCTACCAGTACAAGAACGACCAGCTGTCGTTACTTCTCATGTACGCCATCAGCTTTATGGCGGTGACCTTCGCGCCCTCGTCCGCCGTGACTCTTCTCGGCTTCCAGACCCGACCCGAGGCGCGTCTGTTCTTCTACAAGAAAGCCAAAGCGCTCTTCGACATGGGCTACGAAACCAACAAGATCACCCTCCTGCAGAGCACATTCCTTCTGTCCTTCTACGGCGGCGGCCCAAACACCTACTGGAACTTTTACTCCTGGATCAGCACGGCAGTGACCATTGCCGAGGCGATGGGAATCCACCGCTCCACCCTCGCCGTGCCCAACATGCAACCCCAAGACAAAAGTCTCATGCGACGATTATGGTGGGCGCTGGTCGCCCGTGACAGCATCTGCGGCACCCTCGTCGGACGTCCATTCCGCATTGACCTCGACCAAGCCGACGCAGACCTACTAACCATCGAGGACTTCGCGCACGATGCCATGACCCCGGACTTCTTGCATGACTCCTTGTCACAGCGATACGCCCAATACCAAATCGAGACCGCCAAGCTGTCCCGGCTCATGCGAGAGATTATTAGCAGCCGCTTCTACCCCGGCCGACAGCCCGTATCGTCTTCCAGCCTCTTCGGAAAGCTCACCTGGTGGAAAGCCCATCTCGTCCCGACTTTAACCTGGGACGACCAGGTCCCAGATCCCACAAACCCGTTCTCCATGGCCTTGTCGGTCCAATACAACCACCACCTCATCTTAATTTATCTCGGCCATATGCGCGGAGAGGATCCCCGTCGTCGCGATCAGCGCGAGGTCGACGACATCATCGACACGGCCGCAGATCATATCACCACTGTCATGTGCATGCTCGTAACCAAAGGGGCGTTACTGAGCGTGCCGCATGAGCTCTACCATGGTATCTTCCTCGCGCAGGCGGCGTTCTATGAGCGGATGCGGAGCTCGAATAAAATGGTTGCGCGGCTGGGTCGGACGGCGCACAACTCCTGCCAGATGGTGCTAAAGACAGTGAGTGAGTTTTGGGATTGTGGGACGTTTATTCTGCAGCTGTTTGAGAACCTGTCGAGTCGGTGTTTGGAGCAGCCGGCGGCGACAGGCGAGAGTGCTGTCGGTGTGGCGGAGGCAGCGGGCGGCATGAACGCTGTGACCGCAAATGAGACGGGCATTTCCAATGCGTCTTTACTAGGGGATGATCTTTGGCACGGGAATCCCATGCTAGAGAGTTTGTTCGATTTACCGCCGGAGTTGTTTTTGCCTGATGCCTGAGTACTCCATAGCTGCAGTTACCTCTCTCTCTCTCTCTCTCTCTCGATACTCCATATCTAGTATAACGCGCTGCTGGACTAGACGCATTCACACTTTATCTTCACTATCACTAGATATGATCCCTCGAGATGTCCTACTAGAAGATAGACAAAATCAACACAACACACCACAACAAAAGTATTCTGTCTAAAGGCTGTCTTTCATTGAGTCACTGAGTAATGACTTACAGCCCCATCCTCGTCGCCTCAGATCGAACAATATCCGGCACCTCCTCGCTCAAACTTCTTCCCTGTGGCTTCCAACCCAGAACCTTCTTCGCTCGCACAGCGGACCCCCGCGAGTTCATCCCCCAACTCGCCGCCTCAAACCCAGCCGACGACTTTACAGCCTCATCAATCGACCAGGCCCTCAGCTCCGGCCGGCCCCCCTTAATGTACTTCTGTTTAAACGCCTCTTCTCCAACGGCCGCCGACAATTCACCCCAAACATGCTCCCCATTCTCCGTGAGATAGTACCCACGCGCGCCCCAGACCTCCTCATCATGTTGGCAGGATGGATCCAACGCAGCCTGCACGAGCAGCCCAAACACCCGACTCAAATCATGCACATGCACATTATTCCACCGCGAAAGCCCCTTCCCAATATAAGGACAGTACTGCTCTTTCAAAATAAACGACGCAAGCTCGTACACCTGCCGTCCGCGCCCGGAGATTGGCCCCCGACCGGGACCATAGATCGTGGGCGGGCAGAGGAGCGCCGTTTTGACCGAAGCGGCATGTTTGGTGCCCGTTTCCAGCACGATCTCGTCCACATTGCGGTGGAATGCCGCGGCGGGGAGGTTCACCAGCTCGTCGACGCCCCCCCAGTCATTGAAGACTTTATCGTCGTGCTCGCCGAACGTCTTCTTCACCTCCGAATCAAAGTACGTCAGGATTCCCGCGCCCCCGGTGTGGAGCCAGAATCCGGGTCGTGAGGCGGAGTGGCCCTGGATCAGGCCCTTGGCGATGGCCGTCGCCGCGTCGGCGTGGTCGGATGAATCCGCCGTGTCTGTCGCTGGTTAGCACTGCGTCGGTGAAGGTATGAAGAGGGCATTTCAGCCGACGAGAAGAACGGTAGGAAAGACGTACGAATGACGATATCCGCCCAGGCGGCTTCACGCGCCAGTAATTCGAGATCGTCATTGCCGCCGATGACAATGCGGGCTTTGGGGTACGCGGACTGCACTTTCTTGGCCTTGGCTTCGGAGCGGATCAGGAGCGCGTACTCGAAATCGGGATGTTCCTGGTGGATTTGGTACAAGGCGTCGCCGCCGATGTAGCCCGTGGCGCCGGTGAGGAATACTTTGGCGGGCATTGTGGTCGTTGGCAACTGCGCTGGATCGGAAAAATAAAATCGAATCTAATTGCCTTTGTTTTGTGTAAAGCTAGGGGGGCTTGTATGTCGCGAGTTCGTTATTTAAAAGTTGCGCTGCAACCGATGACGTCGAAGAGGTTGTTGGTGGATCCACACGAATGTTGTGGCGATGATTCATATAGCCGATGGTGAACCTTTTCCATACATCCTGCACCCGTTAATGTGACCTCAACCAGGAACTCTTCGGCCATGGATTACTCAGATCGGTGCCTTGTTGTTGTGAATTAGATTAACAGTTCCAAATCTGTTTTTTTTTTAAGATTGCCCCTGCTAGCGTAATCCTAGGACCAAGAGTAAATACAACACTACGATGTCTGACTGGCTGTGCTGGTTATATATTCTATTGCTCTTCTATCGATTTCCAGGCTTGAGTATTGGTTCATACATGATGCCAACAGGCCATCAATTATTCTTACTATCAACCCATTCTCGTTGTGCAGTGCACACACTATCCTCTATAAAATACGGCCGGTTATACAATGGACAATTATAATGCCCGCGAATATACCATCCCCTCAAATACTTCCAATGGAAGACATGCAGACACTGCAGCTCATGAACCCTCTCCGTGCGGTCCACCTGCTCTAAACACACGACACTGAAGAAAGCATTAGCATCGCCGCATACCGAGATTCTAGGGGGTGGGGGGGTAAAAGATGGCTCCTACCAGACAAAATACTCGCCAGTAGCCTCAGACGACTTCATTTTGGCCTTTGTAGCAGGCAACCATTGCTCGATGGTGTTTGTGGGTAAAAGGACATCCAAGCGGTTTGTTGTCTGATCTAACGTCTTTCTGTCGTGCATGATCTCCCGGCGGCGACAAATCATGAATACAAGGCTTATCACTTTAGCTTCTACACGGTATATTCCTTGAACAAGAGTTGCAATGACGCGCAGCATGTATTGCCCTCGAGCAAAAGTTACGGTCGGAGGGAGGATAATTCACATTATGCACAGCACAATAAGATTAAACGCGCCGAGAAAGGCTCCCGGAATAATAACAATTCGGCTCGTATTTATGCGATCATCGCCACTCATTTCCCTCACATGCTGGGTGTATAAACTACAGTGAATGGTTCCCGCGCTATAGTATACAATCGCCTCCAGTGTTGTGGCGTCTAAAATTGGTAAGAAAGAGGAATGAGAACAAACACACACTGAGTGGAAGGGAGCAGCACAGTTGAGCGTTGAGCGTAATTGATGAGACCACTTTTCGTCTGCCCATCAGGTATTCACTAAGACGCAGGAATGTGGCTTTATAGTTATTCTCCCGACGGAGACAATGAGAATGTGCGTGGATATATGACAGCCACAGGCTATATATCTGACTAATACGTCCATTCGAATGTTTTTTTTTTCCTGCAGCGATTGATGATAACGTCGACATGGTCCGGATAGGATATCAGCCGATAGAGCTCCAAATTTACCGACATGATCACCTAATGCTGAAAGTGAGCACCTGTACCCACCCCTATCGCTAGCAGCCTACAGGGCAGAAAGCCGTCCTTAGATTCTTCAATGGAAGATTCCGCTTGCCGGGCGTATTCCTCCTACCCAATTGATTCATGTGCCCAAGTCAACAGGGTCTACCAAGAAAACAAATTTTACCCTTGAATCTCGTGGCGACATGTCTGTTTCCACAAAAGCATTTGGACTGGTTGAAAGAGTTACTTCCAACCTCGCTGTCATCTGCTCAAGTCTCTTGCCGAGTCATGACTTTCAAATACGGCAGGTCGATGCCCCCCGACAAAGACTTTTCAACATCTGGGACGCCTTGTTGGATAATTTAAAGGACAACGCGGCGACGTAAGCCTGTGTGCATCATGTTTTGCCCCGGCTTGACTGATCATTGCAATGAGCAGGCGATCAATAGACCGTTGCTTTTTATCGGCCACAGCTTTGGGGGGGGATGTTATTGAACAGGTTGGTCAGCTTTGAACATCCGTCCGACCATTGCATTAGCTATGTGGACCCTTTTATTGCTTTCGGTGTGCCCAGTGTAGCAGCGGTCGAGTAGTCCGTCAGTGAGTTAGCCTACCCTTTCCGAAGCCAGCACTCAATTCACGTATCATCGCACTGTCATCACACATTATCAAAAGCGGAGAAGATAGGGAACGCAGATCTCATTAACCCCCGAATTAGTACCTAGGATCTTTGTCTGTTGCCATCTACTGCACAACTATGGTGCATAACCCCAGCCATAGCCTGTAATAAGCATCTTCTATGTAGAATTGTTCCAGTCAAATACATTCCACCCTCACTATAGCTTAAACTAACACCTACAGTCCTGTTCTGTCCACCCGTGAGCAATATTCTAATATTAGGATACTGCAGAAGGTATACTCTACCAGTCACATGCATTGAGCATAACAGGGGATGAACAAGCCCCAGTAGCCGCATGATTGCTTTTTATTTTGCGTGTCATAAATCGCGCAATGCAGAAACCAATTTGTTATATCGCAAGGACCATTATGGACACAAAACTGAGTGTCCGCTCCGCCCACGGTTGATTTCACCCAGACGACACAATTGTGTTCACAATGATCAACCGGCCAGGGGGCTGCGATAGGAATAGTGACCAGAAGAAATGAGGCCCAACGAACATGCATCGTGTTTGGTATTCGATGAGGTACTTTGGAGAACAGAATAACATTTCAATCTTGACCCACTATGATTCAACGCCATTTAAGTAGGATGTTTCTTGGAGTGTCACGTTCATATCGTAGAGTTTGGACTCGGAAGTTAGTCCGTACAAAGAAGAGTACTCATTGTACATCCTTCTCTGGGAACAAATGAAAACAAGATTTATGTGGCCGCTGGGCGTTTTCTTGGCCCACCATCAGACACCCCGTAGTCTCGTAGACTTGGATCTAGAATAGACTGCCTGTGCTTGGGACGTAATCTTGTAAGTATGGTCTCTTCTTCGGTCCTGTTCGTACAATCTTCGTATTTTCCCTCGGTCAACCACTAATATTGCGGTTGTGGCCCACAAGCTACCTAGTATACGAGCGACGAGACGAAAGCCTCCGCCAAATAACATATCTCTGGATCCAATAAGCCTATCTTTTGGGAGGACTGGAATGTAATGGAATTAACTGAAATTCATGCATTTTCAGACAGCTGTCTGCACCTACTGGTAGATAGCGGGAAGTTGCAAGGAAATGGATATGTTGAAATGCAAATAAAAAGCATGAACCCAGTAACTTTGGGTCACAATGCAGCAACCCCCCCGCTATAGCTCACCTTGACGGCCACTCATCTTTGTCTGTGACCCGATTTGCAACCATTGCCAAGTTATATCGTGATTCTTTGAGATCATTATACTGCAGCAGCTCCCATCCTTTGATTGTTTCACGCCTTCGATGCCCCTGGAGTAGGCGAGGGCGTTGCCGGCAATGCCGGTGTCGCTGATGAGGACTTTCAGACAAGTCATGTTTTTGGTTGCTTTCGTTGCGGTGATTTATGCAGGTCAAGCCTGGAAGTTATTTCCGAGGGGGTTCCGGCTTCGGCCCTATTTACAGTACAGTATTGGGGAGGACTGGTATGAGGCGGGACAGTAAATGTGGATTTGTTGAGAAAAAGTGAATCATGATACCTGGAAAATAACATAAAGAGATATCCGGGGGACGATTGACATAAACCTTTTATTATGATCGCTGTGCCTGTTGGGTTGAACTTGCTCAAGACCCGATACAGTGAACACGGCTAATACAGCGAAGTCCGAATATATCGAGTCTTGGCCGGAACCTTCTGGAGATTGGCGACATGCCGGGCGGGGAACCCCGCAATCAGTGCCCCTGGCTGTACTCTGACCCCCATTGCACCGATGGCCCCCTATGAAGGCGAAAGAAAAGCCGTGCCTATTGAGGGAAAGTGGACAGCCGTAATAAGGCTTCTGTTTCTACCGAGCGCCGGCGCCCCACCTTGTCATGTGAGCATTGCCGTCGGCGTAGGGTTCGCTGCGACCGGATGATGCCTTGTGGGCCGTACACCAAAATCCAGCCCTCCTTGGGTTTTTCGTGTGTCCACCAGATAAAGATAGCCCTGGAGGCTGATATTCGGGTACAGGTTTTTTCAGCATGTACTGCTGAAAGTCGTGACAATGCGAGTTGTGGCGGGATCAAAACTCATTCATGATTAGATGTATGCGAACTCGTACAGAAAGATCCATTTCTCAATGTTAGTATGTTTTTTCCATCATCCTGTATGTGTATGTCACATCTATGTATTAAGTCTACGACAAGCAGTCTGCAACAGTCTGAGGCACAATTGTAGGATCGCTGGGCCCGGTGTTAATTGCCCAAACAGGATTGGTCGGCGCATACGGTAAGCTTGCGGGTGTGGAAATCGGAGCCGTATGCCCTAAGAGTCTATGGATGTCGACTTATCGTTACTTGCCATTTGCATTAATCGCCACGAGGCACGCGGGACGAAACGCTCTAATGCATGTATGACTTTTTTTGATTGAAGACGACAGATAGATTTTGTAGCTGAATCCGGAGATTGGACTATAATATAGTCCTGAATGTTGACACGTCAAGGGAATTCAGCTGACCCACCATTATTCCCCACACCCTGCCGCTTCTTGCAGCCAAGCAAACATGCCATGAGGCAAGCCTCTCGGAAATGGTGCGACAGGGCGGTGAGGTGTATATTAGTGGCTGCTAGGTCAGTAGTTAGTGTGGTGCTAGCTTTAACTAGGCTAAAGGTTGCTTAGCTAGACTGCTAGAGGCTATATCACGCCGACTTCGATTTTCAAATCTTCACAGCTCTGGCTGGGTTAGGGTTACATCTATTGTGACTAGCCCTCAAGAGTCCTCCTCAACTATAGCAATCTCTAAGCTAGGCAAATTTTTGATCTAGTCCAAGCTCATAACAGATAACGATTGGCAACACGGCCGTTGAATGGGTCTGAGCGTAGACCACAATTCCACAATTTCTGACCCAATCGCGCTAAATCCTGGCCCAGTCGCAAGTGGAAATCCTGCCAGACGGCTCAGACTTGCCGATCGAGTTAGCACACCATGATAAAAGGAGAACCCAGCCTTTCCCACCCGTTGCAACGTTGCATTCAACTTCTTCGTACGCCCGTTGAATGACAATACCCCTGGCACCATGACTAACGACACTCGCGTCTGCTATTACCCCTCGGGCGCGATAGCTGATGATAACGTACCCTGTTCATCTGACGAGTACACTTCGTGCTGTGGAAGCACCGATCTCTGCCTCTCCAACGGCCTCTGCCTGAGTGTAACCCATCAACCATACGTCCTGAGTAGAGGCGCCTGCACCGATCCACAGTGGGCCACCGGATGTTCCCAATATTGCCGTGCGTTGGCAATCCGGGCAAGGGGGCGAGGGGCGGAAATCCTCTCTCCTCTCCACGCCTCCAAGCTTTTTGATGGGATATAACACTGACCGTGTTTCAGAGGACAACAACCCCACCGGTGGCTGTTCGATCATCAACCTCAAGTACTACAATGGAGTATCAACCTACTGCTGCGGGACGCCCGTCGCCAACAATGAGTCGTCAGTCGTCTGTCCCGACAATGCCAGCTCTTTTGAGGTTCCGACCGGGCACGCAATGGTTGGCTACGCGATGCTGGCCAACGTATCGACGCTCGATGCTACGACGACGACGACGACGTCCCGCTCGTCGAATGAGACATCAACACTCGCCAGCTCGACGGCATCGTGTACGAAAGGCGCTTCTTGTCATGACGCAGCTATTGGCGCCGGGGTCGGAGTACCGTTAGGGGTGATTGCGCTGGCGTCGATCGTATGGGCATTGTTTGAGCGAAGGCGCGCAACCGCAGGGCGTGCTGGTCTGTCAGCGCCCAACGCCAGCCAGTCGGCGCAAATCTATACCCAACAGCTACTCGTACCGAGTTCACAGCACTTTGGCGGACCAGCCCCCACTGAATTGGATGGGTCGAAAAGACCATCGGAGCTTGAGACTCCTTAGTTGTGTGCCACATCCACCATCGAAGCTTTTTCTTCTGTCACACCATTGTTATCATGTATCTGTAATAGGGAAAGTGAGATCTGGTGACATGCTTTCGGAAATGCATAGAAAGGTCCGGCCTCGCCCATCACAACTGCTCTCCTTTGTACATAATCAAACATCTCATAGAACTCCCACAGTGCGGGTCGGAATAAGAAAGAGAACAAGACGCTAACAATCTGCCTTATAACTTCTGGATAGCTTGCCCAAGCGGGAGGCACAACAACCGAGACTCATCCCCCTGCTGCATACGCAACACAAGCCTTCCTTGATTTTTCAATTTAACTCTTCCTTTTTCGTCTCATGCCAATCCCCAATCTAAAGAAACAGACTACACCCAACGCCACCGCCGCCTCGGAATGATTTTACCTCAAATTTAACGCCATAATGTCTCCTACCTTAGTAGCGTAATAACCCGCAAATTCCTGTAACGTCCCGCTTCCTAGCTCAAAGTGCGTCAGCATGCAGGCCGTCCGCTCGCACGCGGGGATCTTGACCGTATTACCGTTCGGAAGGACGGCAAAATTGGCCCGGGTCCAAGACGGCGATGCACACCGTCTAGGTGGTGAGTTTGAACACAAATGCGATGGTAATATTGGCAATGTTCTGGATGGTGTCGCCGAGGAGGGTGATATAGACGTAAGGTGGTTGGGCTCGCGATGCACGTGTTGGGGGAGCGGTCCGAGAGGTGTGGAGGACGTAACTGCACGCAATTTGACGGTTTAGACTGGAAGCGTGGGGATCTTGCTAACCTCCAACTTTTATCTTCAACTTTCCTCGGTCGAGTTTACTCGATAGAGCTTAGTCTGGGAACCACCGAGTAAAAGGACGGGGAAGAACATGCGGGGAGAGCCTGACTCTACCTACAAAAGCCCATTGCGGCTGCCCGGCAAATTTAAGTCTACCGGCAGAGTTGGCTTGGCCTATATACTAATCCTGATAACCTTAATAGGTAAGCTAGGAAGTACTATTTCCGAATAGCAGACTCTAAAATAGATACTTTCGGACTGTAAGTACCCTCAAGTAGCCTCTAACCGGTTAAAGAGAGGCGCTTATCTAATGACGTGACGATGTCTTTTTGGGGGAGGGGGAGGGTGGGGGAGGCGTCGTAACCTCAGCACCCTCAAGCTGGTAGTCATACATTTGTACTTCAGTTCTCATGGATGGAGAACGCGGCCACCTTCCAAGAAGGATGCAGTAGGCATGCTGAAGGAGGAAATCTCCATTGGCCGAGTAGCCGCAATGGTCGCCCGTGCCTGGCCAATCACCACACCACTATAGACTTATACCCATTCGAGGTGCATGATGGACAGGGATCAGAAGCGGAGCTGACACGTCACACACACACACATACACAGCAAAACCGTCTTGGTTCCCCTCTCAATACCCCTCAATCCCAAACTCTGTCTGATCGACCAGCCGAAAGCGTGTATATCAGACAAAATAACGGTGGAAAGCGGCGAATAAATCGCAATGAGACGTATCCGGGCCTGGGGCCAGGACAGCTCAGAGAGAAAACATGAAACACCGGAACACAGCGATTCCAAGGAGAAAAGGTCGATAAAGGATCGGTTGAGAACGAAGTTCTCCTCGCGGCACTATGATGATGATGAGATACCGAAGAGAACGGTGGGCGAAAGGTCCAGTTGTCTTGAACCAGTTCATCATGGCCATGGGCCTAGTCGGCCAGGAAGCGCATCTGAATGCGTTGAGACGCCTAGAGCAAACTCTCCTTCATTGAGGGAGTCCACGAAGACGTTGGAAGAGCTGGTGATGAAAAATCTATGGCAAGTCGCCCTCGAGGAATTGCGAGAAAAGGAGGGGCGCCTGGTTGCGGCGTATGAGCAGGATCTGGCCAAAGAGTCCAACAAATGTCACAGTGGAGATAAACAAGCGCAAGGCGGTCCACTCAGCAGGACGGAACCGCATCAGAAGCTTGTACGCGAAGCTCTTCAAAGATTGGAGGATGGCCAGCTCGTCATACCCAGACGATGTCGTCAAAGTGCGATCGGGAATCACGTTCAGCGCATCCTCCAGATTGTTCTGTCCGTCAAGGATGTCATATCGCAGGCAGTTAGCGCGGAACCTCATGCCTCTCTTGCTTGGGCAGGTGTTCTGGTTGTGCTTCCTGTGGATATTAACCTGCAGAATTTTGATCTCATCAACTGACTCTTGAACAAGCTACTCTTGAAGCCATTTACGCAGCTCGAAGAAGCAGCAAATGGTATCGAGTTCATCTCAAGGTTGTTGATTCGATATCAAGTCATTCAAGGCTCTCATATCCAGGTATTCATCGTACCACCTGTTCAAAGTGAAAGGTGATACCTGTCTGTCGAGGCTAGAGAATTACGGCTAAATAAGACTTAGCATGACTAGCGTCGACTGTTTTTGCAGCTCCATTCGAGAGCAAACCGTTGCCCTATATACGCAGGTACTAGAATACCAGATACGACTCGCCAGGCAATTCTCACGGTCGGGGTTGTTTCAGGGAATCAGAGACCTGGTGACTGCCGATGATTGGCTTGGAATGACCACAAAGATCAAGCAGACCGACGGGTCAATCCATACTATGTTGGCAGAATGGTCGCAAAAGACCATTCTGCATATTGATAAAACAGTTTCGTCACTGCAGGAAAAGATGGACGAATCGCTGTCTTTGAGTTGTGGAATCAAGCAGGATATGAATGTGAGACATGCAAAGTGCCCTCCTTTCGCCAAGACTGACCAGTCAACCAGATCCACCGCAACGAAACGCTACTCAAGTCCATCACCTGTGTGACTAGTGCAGCCTATGGATTCTACGACCAAGATAAAGGAACCTGTCTTGAAGGAACGCAGGTGGCTGTTCTCGAGAAGATTCAAAACTGGAGCATTGGCCCTGAAGAGAAGCCCATCCTGTGGCTCCAGGGAATGGCAGGAACCGGCAAGTCTACAATCGCCCGAACTGCGGCCGCATCATTTCGGAATGGAACCTCGTTAACGAACCACGGTGCTCTCCCTGACAATGTTTGCCTTGGGGGTAGTTTCTTCTTCGATCACAAAAAGCAGGATTGTAAGGACCCCCGGAACCTCTTCCCGACATTGGCTCGTCAGTTGGTTGAAGTGATCCCGGAGATCGAGGAGTCTGTTTGCGCCGCAATTTCCAATCATCATGATATCCAACAAAGAACACTCCGTGATCAGTGGAGGTACCTGATTTGGGAGCCCCTTTCCATGCTCCAAAGTGATCTTCGAGACACGGTCATCGTTGTCATCGATGCCCTGGATGAATGCGAGGTCAAGGCCAATAACTGCGAAAACGATGTGGAGGTGATATTAGGGCTGTTGAGTCAGATACAAAAGCTTCGCTTGGTGCGGATACGTGTTCTCATCACCAGTCGACCGGAAGCCGACATGCAACGCCACAGCAGAAGTCTCTCCCAGGACATTCACGACCAGACGTTGGAGAAGGTGAAACTCGTCAACGACACCGATGATCGAGAAGACGACATCACTCGCTTGGTGAAACACGAGATGATTGCGATCAAAAAGAGTCATCCCCGCCTGCCTGCAGACTGGCCGGGCACCCAGTCTCTTAGACAGCTCGTCGTCCAGACCGAAGGTCTGTTCATTTATGCTACCACGGTCTGCCGGTTCTTGCGTGGGGCTACGGAGCGAACCATTCAGCGTCGACTCGAAACTATCCTGGGCAAGAAATTCGATGGAAACTCAAAGGGTAACAATCTCGATGAGATGTATACCAGAATTCTCGAAATCATTCTCACCGGGGAAGCAGACAATGATACGGAGATATCAAGTTTGTTCAAACTTAATGTAAACCCTAATGCTCATACTTAGTTCGGATGTCGGACAAATTCGACTCTTGGATGTGAGAACCGGACAGCTCCTGGCCAGTATTCAGCTCTCGAATGCTGAATCTCTGCGTCTCGACCTATCACGGGACAAGACCTTGCTTGCATTAGCGTGGATAAAAGGAGGCGAACGAGGGCACACTGTACAGATCACCTTATGGGATCTGGCAAAGAACCAAGCCTTCCGCGAATTCGAGGTGGATATGTTACCCCCAGAGCTTATGGATGTAGCCATTTCGCCCAACAACAGCACATTTGCTATCTCCTCGGATGAAGAGATCAAGGTGTATAGTTCTGCGGGAACTATCATACACACCTTGGATCATGAGGGAGTATTTCCGCGTTTAGCATTTTCTGCAAACGGAGAGCTGATTGCCTCCGCAGACCATAAAATCACCATATGGAATACAGCAACAATGCAGAAGTTGAACAAAATCCCGTGTCCAAGCCTTGTTAGTTGGATCAGCTTCACAGATGAAGACCGCTTCCTCTCAACCAGCGAGGGGCGGTTCTCTATCGCCTCCATTCTATCGAATGATGATGATGTGGATAGATATGGGTCCGGGTTATATTGCCATGGCTTGTATATCATGAATGGAAGGAAGAAGATTCTCGCCCTTAAGCCTGAGCTCACAGCTTGCACACCCTCAGTGCGCGGGAACAAAATCGCCCTGGTCTTTCCACCTGATCGAGTTGGCATCTTTGAGATCGATACTGAAGTCGACCAAGTCCTCTGAAAATTTCCAGGCCTTGTCGGTGATATCGATTGTCGCTATCCGGTACAGTCCTGGCAGGCATCAAGGTTCGTCAATATGGGTGCGGAAGCCAGTGCAAACCCTACCGGGTTGGACGGGCTAACAACTTTGGCAGGAGCCACGGAAGCGTGTCCTCGGTGACAGGTGATATGCTTCATAAAAAGGGGGGTTCAATACTAGGTGATCGTGAACGGCAGTATCGCAGCCGTATATTATGTAGCGGGTGAACGGTAAGAAATATGGAATTATATCAGTATTCATATAAGACGCAAGTGGAAAACGATGTATAACCCTCGTGGCAAGCACAAACACTTGACAAACCCCTTCATATAATCTACAGCAGCACCAAGTATGCGAACCATACCATCTAAGTTCTCTTATGTCTACGGTTGAAGGCAGGAGGTTAATTTCCCACAACGAGGATCTGGTGCAGTGGAGCAAGGGCCGCCGACAACACAAAGATCGGACCGCGCCGTCCGCTCTTCTCGTGTTTGCTTGCTTGGCGCCTGGCCCTCGCCACTTCTAGTTGCTTAACTGCCAGACTTATAGCCCTAAAGAGCACCAGCCAAGCCCAGCCAAGGCCATGGCAGCCTTACGCAGCAGGGCTGTGATCACGCCGAGATCTTGGCCTCATCAAGCAGACGCCACAATTGGAGCGCCAACAGGCTCAGGAACCAACGGAGGATGCTTGGCACAACTTAGGGCTATGTTTAGCCCGCGACCAAAGCCACATGGCTTGACGTGCGCGGGCGCCTCTGCCAGCATATATTCAGTCTTTGCTAACCAGATACCAAAGTCTAGTCGTTCGTTAATCACCCCCCCAAAAAGCTCCGGTAAGATCGAGCACTGTGGTCCCTCTCGAGATGTCACCCACCCAACGCTTCTACGGCTCGGAGTATCGCGCAGTGGAAGACTCCGATAATCCGGATGAGGGTGTGTATTGTATTGTCGGGACCCGAGAATCTTGGCGGTTCCAGGGCTAAGCTTTGACCAGTGGAAGGCCCCACCGACGCCGAGTGCAAATACCCGGCGTTCCCACCGAAATCCACGACTAATCGCAACCGATACATCATCACGGGAATCATATGGTCCGGTCTCCTGCTTCTGGGGTCCTTTCTAGGCCTCGGCATTGTCCTGACCGTCCTACTAGCCGTCGAAACAGACAACACGGGTTTCAGCACCGACAATCCTGACTATGCTCTGTACAAGAACACCGGGTTCAAAGAATGCATCAGCACACCCGTATCCGCCCTACCGTCCAACTGTTCCGTCATCCGTGAGAGTCTCCGTAGTGAGCCAGGGGGTGTGTTGGCCCTGCTGCGTCCCCATTTGCGCCACTCAAGCCAGAGTTGGTGCGAGGTCATGAGTTGTTTTCAGGATTTCAAGATCATTCCCTCTATGCCCCGGCCCTCGGCCTTCTGGCCGACCGCGCTCGACACCTGGAACAAGACGGCCATCACCTTCTTCATGGCCACCTGGCAAGTGAACAAGCTCCACCAGGCCCTGTACAGCAAGAAAGGACAGCCCTGTCGGGGCATCGAATGGGACACGTGGGTCATCCTCGCCTGGGATCTGGGATCCTTCGTCTGGTGGTGCGTAGGGCTGGGCCGGTTCGCCGTGCGACCGGCATATTACTCCCCCCCCTCGATGCTGGGCTGGATCACACTCTGGAAATACTGCTACATCACCCGGTATCACCCCTACTCCTGCGTGCTTCGCCGTGCTCCACGAAAAGCTCAGATCATCCGGTGGACGCTCACCGCGGTGGCCACGCTGCAGTGGGCGGCGTCAGCTTACCTCTGCCTCCGCGCCCTGCACTTCCGCAACATGCCCGGCACGCCGAAACCGGCCTACGACTGCCTGGAGGCGCGCTTCGCCACGGCCCCCGGCACCACAACCTGCACGCCCGCGCAGATCTGCGCGACCCCGTCGCTGCTCCACTCCTTCAGCCTCCAGTGGCCCAATCAACGACTCGGGGGTTGGATCTCGGACGTCGCCTTCTTCGCCGCCCTGTCTGTCCTGGCCATCATCATGGTCGCGGTAATCGGCCTCTTCCCTCGACTGGCCCGGCTGATTGGCGGCGGGAATCTGGCCAAGTGGCGTCGGCGAGCGGCCACAGTGGACTTCGGGTTCGCGGGCAATGTCTGCTTGGCGGGCGTCGCGTGCACCATCTACGGTGGCATGACGGTCGTGGATGCCGTCCGCGCCTTTGGGCGGGGTCGCGAGGCGGCCGTCGTCTTCAATTATGATTGCACCGCGCTGCATGTCAATGTGAGTCCGTGGAGGTATTACTTGGATGTTGACTATGAGTTGCCTGTGAGGGTGGCGAGGATGTGGTTCAATGCATAGTGGGTGCAGGTCCTGGGGGTTTCTTGTATATAATGCGCCTTAATGACTAGTGATGAGAGCGTGAAGATGAATGATCTTCAGCTATCAGGCGAACTGTCTAACATGGCGGCGAGCTGCCTGACCGATGAGGAGGTCAGCCCTCTCCACAACTAGTCGAGATACTCTCAGTTCCTGCCTATCAGGTCTTTGCATTCTGAATGTGATTCTCGACTACACCGGTTAACGGCACCCTCTGTGTTTGTAGCTTCTCATTTATCCTCCCGCCCAAATGTCTGACGACATGTTGCCAGACCTCATCGTCCGCTGCCGAGTAGAGAGGGGACTTCGAGATTCGAAGTTGAGTTCCGTCGTGGATGGCAATCAGACACCGTACCTTGCGTCCAATAAAAGAGACAAGGAGGACCTAGCAACGACAGGGCAGGAATGTTAGCACTAACTCACCCAGTCAGAACCGAAGCGACATCCCAACCTACCGGAACAATCATATCGAACACGCTTTCCACGGACCACCGGGAATACATGAGCGCCACAATAACTTTCAGTTCAGCTTTGAGCAAGTTGCGCTCTGCGTTATCAACATCGCTGTGGCTGAGGATCGCTTTAACATGAGGTGGCAAGGGTCGAACCCGGCAAACATAAAGTGCTTCGAGGTACCACATGATCTCGGTGCCTGGGATCAGCTCCTTCCCTTCAAAAACCTGTTCTAAGTTGGACCAGCCCCTGAAGAAGGTTGGTTAGTTTGCAAGAAAGATAGGCTTTGAATCTGTTTTGTTTTTTCGAGACTTACGTTACTCTCCACTTATTTAGCCAGGTGAGGTTCTGTGTCTCCTCTTCGCAATTTAAACGTGAGCTTGACATCTCGATACGGAGGCATCTGGAAAGTTGGTCTGCAGCATCGTAAGATGACATCGGTTCATTGCCGAATCCTCTGAATTCCGGATCTAGTGCCTTTGCCTTATCATTAAACCATTCAGCAGTGACCGAGTCGGAAAGGTCGACGGGGTGCTCTCGGATGTAGTCGTCGGTGAGCGGGACAAAGTAACTGGCCGGATTCAGAGCAGGCGGGACAACACGATTGGCGTCAGTGTCACCAGTGAGGTCGAGAGGTAAGGTTAGGATGCTGAGTCTTGCTAATTGCTCTGGATCTATTAAGACCTGATCGAGGTCCATCGCCCTTGTTGCCTTATACGTGACCCAGAGTTTGGATAACACCTCCTCACGCTGGGAGTCCAGGTCATCCTTTCCAAGGGCACGCGAAAAGCGACGTGGCAGATGCTTGATGATACGGACGGTTTTGCGAAGGATGGCAGACATCACGAGCAGCAGATGATCGAGGGGGGTGGATGCTCGAGGTCCAAGGTTCAGGCTTGATAGATAGGAGGTAATAGAAAGTGCGAGGGGTGTGTGGGCTTGTAGGTGTTTGGGAGGAGAAGCAAGCAAGAGATAACACACAATAGGGGTGTTGTTGATGTCATGCGACGGACCACCATCGCGCCCAACACTCGGGAACACCTCACTGTCGCGTCACCTGACTTTTGCATAGATGCAAATTGATATAGAATATGTGAAGACTTCAAGCAACGAAACTTCCGCACACCTGAATCAATGCTGTGACTCGTTCTTTAAGACTCCAGTATGGGGCCCAGTATGGGGGCCTTATTCCGCTCACATGCACAGTTTATGTTGCAGATACTGTGTAGCCGCCGGTTTTCTTCCAGGTCTCACGCTTCTCTCGACCCCATTATTTCACTTATTTCACTTTCTATCGTGACTCTCATCTTTCCCTGGTCAGCCAGGATTTGATAAAACCGGTCGTTTTTAGAATCTTCAGTCTAATGCAAACAAATTCTAACTCCAATAACCATTTCCTTCCTGCTTAGTTTAGTAAGCCGCCCCGATGCATAGTGGAATCAATATGACCTAGATCTGGCCTTGCTGAATCTACGTCGACTTGGTCATTTGTTATATAGATCAGTCAACCAAGTCTCTATTGCCTGTGAGTAACTGTCCGCATTGTATGCGCAGCCTGGCAGACTATGTAGTGTCGAAGTCAATCCTAAACACTCAATCGAAATAGGTGTTTAGTATAGGATGTTCAACTTTTGCCAAATGATAACAGGAAAACAAACTCGTCCATACGGCCACGTCTGCTTATGTTTTCTGCAACACTAGGTTACTTTTTATATTTAGACTGCGTGTCAATACCTAAACCCTGGAAATAGCATCACTAGTCTAGTTCTGGGCACAATCATGGACCCACGTGTTCACAAGAAGCGTCTTGGTATAGTCAGGAAATAACATTCATAGGCGCCACTGACAAGCACAGCCTTAGCAGATAATAATAAATTGCTAGTCTTATACTCCGCTAGCCAATATTCTACCGTTAAGAAAGATCTCTTCCGTTCATTACAAAGCTCATCTTTCCCTCATACCCGTTCACCGTCGTAGAACATGAAGGAATGTAATCCAGCCCCGATATTCTGGTAATACATCTCTTTCGTGTCCCCCAGTCACATTTTATCACGAACAATATTCAACCTTTTAATCATGTCGCAGAATCAATTATTGTTTTAGCCACAGACATACGAACGGTGGTGGTGCAATTAGAGCTTGGTATACACACTTTGTGGTCCTATTATCATTCAATAATCTTTAAAATTTCAATTTTATGTTGAAGCTAAATATCAAGCCCAATGGATGATGGACTGATCGAAATGACTAATTTCGGAAGGCAACTTTCAGGTGGGTTGTGAAAGCAGGCTTCCAATCTGTCAAACAGGTTTGTATTCAGCTCAGGCTGGGAAATCTATGATCGTCGATGTCTCACACAAGTGAATTACTAGCTAAAGTGGATCGACTAGTCTGAACTAGAATTATTCACCCCTTGAGAGTATTGACTGATTGACAACCACTACTCTGAGCGACGTGGATGATGGTGATCTCTCAGTATGGGAATGGTTGAAGTCCCAGGTGGAAAGTAATCTGTTATGTCTGGCCTCGATTTTGATTTCGCCGCCTGATCTTTTTTCTCATGCGAGACGTTGTTGCAGTTCTTGGTAGCCTCTTCAAGTATTCTAATGGTTTCCAAATCCCCGTTCTGTACAGCAAATTGCTAGAATGGGTAAGCAAAGTCAGTTTACTTTGGGAAAGTAATCGTTGGTATCACAGAGCTCGACCTTACCAGAGCAGTCGATCCCTGAACGCGGAGACATGGGTTTACTCCCCGCTGAAGCAAGAGAAGCACTTTATTTGCCTCGCCTCTTCCTGCAAAATCGTGAAGAAGATGGGTACCATCCACTTTACAATTGACATCTGTGCCGGCCTCGATCAGAAGTTGGGAGACTCTCTCGTGCTCCTCAGAGCTTCCAATCTGTGTCCATGGGGTGTGGCCGTCTTTGTTTCTACTCTCGATGTCTGATTGCCGGGTTATCAGAAATTTGACCATCTCGGGATGGTTGAAAAGTGCGGCTAAATGAAGGCAGGTATTTTCTTCGTTATCGCGCTGAACACAATGATCCCGGATGGTGAAGAGTATTTTTGCTATATTCATGCGACCAAACCTCGCTGCCACAAACCGAGCTATGAATACTATTTCGTCAAAGGCATTGGGAGCTGTTTGTTTGCCCCAATCCAGTGCAGTACGGAGACTTGCAAGATCGTCGTTGTATGCTGCCTTCAAAATACTCACAGTGGCAGAGAGGACACCATCACCAATGTATGTATTGTATGCCTCATTCCCCGTTCCTCTGGATATCTCATTGGCGATGTCTTTGACGATGTTTTCATAAATACTTTTACCGTCGACCATAGTATCAGCAATGCCGCCCAAGAAAGCGCGATCATAGTGCTTGCAGAGATTTGCCCGGATTTCACTGTCTTCTGAGATACTGTCTCGCATTATCTCTGCCAATATTTTACGGTCACTGTCGTTGTTTTGTACGGCATTGAGATCTGACTCGGCTGTGGTAACTGCGTCGGGAACATGGGGCTGGTTTGAGATTGACCCATTCGGCGTGGAAGCGCTATAACCCTGTGGTGTAGCAGGACTGGCAGCTGCATGCTGTCAGTAAGATGTACAATCTTATCAAGTATCGGCAACAAATACCGCGCGCTCGAATTCGGTCCATGGTGGTGACATTGCGGGCGATTTCTTTCCGAACTCGTGTGTCACTGATCACCGTACCATTAAAGTGAATCTCGATCTCCTTCTGACCTGCACTGGCTTTGCGCGTCTCCTTTTGATGATCAGCCCATATCCACACATCCCTGGTCTTGTTCTTGCGAAAGCCCCATTTCTTAAATTGGTATTTATAGGCATTTTGGCTGTGAGCAGAATTAGTAAGGCTGTCAAAGCCGAGCAGGTTCGTACCTGGCCCTTATCCCGAATCTTGTTTCCATGTATTGCATCAACTTTTCCAGCTTCATATTTTCATCCAGGTACAACTTTCGAATTGTATCTTGGTGGTCAGACAGGCTCATATCGATGATTTACCGTGTAATCAGATGCCGTTGTTTTCTTATGGTTGAGAATGGTGGGTAATGTGAGCTTTTTGTACCCAACGGTTGTCCCAGGTTAGCTTAGGTGACCGCAGCCCATCTGCACGGCCCCTCTCCTCGATGAGATCAAAGCCCTCGTTTGTGGCTATGGCATCTTCTGGAATGGATCAATCAATACCACTGTCTCTGTGGGGCTTCGCTTTTTGGTATCGCCCAATCAAGAATCGAGAATCGTTTAGGCACAGGTGACAGTCCCGGTCATCTTCTGGCATGGTCCAATCGGCAATAGGAGGTGAAATCATTCAACTGCCTGTGCGGACAATCACCTTCTGGCCCCGTCCAATTACATTAGGATAGTCTATCTCCCTGCGTTATGACTGCGGCTGAGACAAAGTCCCTTGTGTCAGATTGGCTGAAACCGAAGGTGCACAGCTGACGCCAGCATGGGACTTCTCTTAGCTGCATCAGGTTTGTAAAAGAAAGAAAGAAAAAATAAAGAAAAGAAAAATGAATTACTCCTAGCTTACTTTCTCAAAGTAGGAACTAGGTGTAGTCACTCGCTTACTTTCTAGAGTGGGAACTACGCGTATTGACAACATCGTCGCTCATGTAACTTGTCCCCTGCTCGCTTGAGCAAAGATTTAAAGATATCTTTCCCCTGATATCTGGCAAAAAAAAAAAGTCAAACCACATCCTAAGGTAGGACCTGTGCGCGATCATCTGTTCTAGCTTTGGGCCCGTCATTTTTCAGCATGAGCCTGTCATTTGGAGACATTATTGGCCTACTAAATCTTTTGGTTAACTGCATACCCGGTATTCGCTTCGCCATAAAAGGTATCGGTGCTCAAATCCGCCGGTCGCCGCTCGACAACCAAGGTACGTCCAATTTCCTACCATCTACCTCCCTTGGCCCTGAGTCCTGCTATTCAATGATTCTCGTCTGCCGGCTGACTCATCGTAGACCACTCTCTTCTGCCAAATTTGCTCAACGGCAACGGTTCAAATTGTTCAGGTGAATTGGGCTCGTGCCATAGAGTAATTCACTCCCGACCGGCCCTGCCCCGACCAGCGCTACCACCTCAATATATGCAAGTGGCCGTGTTTGCCTTCATCGGAACGGTAAGTCACTTCAAGTCAAGTGTTTATATTACCTCGGCCGAGATCTCATTTCCTTGGTTCTTCGACAGGTGATCAACATTGTCCCTCACAGACATGAGGCGCCGTGTGCAGGAACTACTGCTTCCAGACGTACACCGCTCGATATTGTCTAGACTATGAAATGCAGGCTTACAAGGGCTGCAAAGATGATTTTGGTTCGTTTTACCTATCCAGGAGCTAAGTCATGAGGAGTGAACTGGATTTCGTGGTGACTGACGCCTTGTCCTAGGTTGATGGTCTCTTTCTCTCACTCAACATACAGTCCTTCTTCTCTCGGCTACATATGCACGCCGGGAGTTGATGTTCTGTGTCGAACAATGATTCCGGAAAACATCAACATATGATGAAGGGACCAAGGCTAGTGGTTGGGATTAATATGATCCGGAGGCCTCGGATATAGAGAGTCGAAAGAGATGTGATCAGGGGAGTGCCTACTTGCAAAATACATTGTCGCTGATATATGGTTGAGTGGGAGTAGTATTTACTGTTTTGTTGAAACGTCAGTACATTCAGTACTTTGCGTTGTCTTTTATGTTTTTTACAGTTGTTTCAGCTTCAGTCTCGCTTCTGCCTTGATAGCGTGTGTTGTACTTAGACTCGACCGCAGATGAGGAATTTCTGGATGGACCTTGCCCTTGAAATCCCATGATGAACCTGTATGTGATTCAAGATATCAAATTAAAGCAGCAGCGACAGCAGCGACCGGAACCTTACCTAGCCGAGAACCTCAATCTCTTGGAAAATCTGCGAGCAATCGGGACATTTGCGTAGAACTTTGACTCATTGTGAGGAACGACTGAGCCATTTATAGTGCCCAATGGGTATGATCCCGATTGCCACATTCTTGTTAACAAGTTGATCAGTTGACAGGAATACACCTTTCTCTTTCCGTTCCAATCCAATTCGAGCATAAAGAATGATTTCAGACTACTACCCATCTGCTTTTGATTTACTTCTTTGCACTTTCCTACTGTGCACTAGATTGCCAGTACTCAATCCAATCATGTCTATCATGTCTACAAGCAACTACTGCTTGAGCTGTCATCGATGACAATGGAATAGAAGAGTTTACCTCATCGAGCATAAATACCAAAATCAACCAGAGCAAAGCATCCTGCCTTTCTATATCTTTTGTGATCTCTAGATATGGGGACTCTGTATAAAACGACAAAACCCTGAATAAAGCACCGGTGACTATAGTGCCTGGGAATAATGTAAACAACCAGTCTGCAGAAATCTGAGCTGGACAAGTACTCTTGAACAAGCCATCGAGTATATCATGCTTGAAGTTTAGTTCACCTTTCGTTTGAACTCTCGAAAGTGCCCCAGGTTTCTCATCCGGTCAGTGACGATACCTTAGACATGGATAAGGCTATCAGCTCCGAAGGAGTCGGAAAACGAAAAACACGTGATCTCAAACGGTGTTAGTATAAATCTAGTACTAGAGAATCTTTTCTCGCGGAAATTTGCACGTGACCGTCTTGAAGCTCACGTGTAGATTTCAGATATCATTCTTAATATCAGACGGGGCTTCATGATCTATTTTAAGGTTTAGGTAATTAGAAGGAGCTCTGAGGGGGTCGTCAAAAGAGCTCGGGAGTCCACAAATCTTGGTATTTCTGGCTCTACCCTAGACGGATATCGAAACGAATCGAACCTAAATCAGTGATATGTGACTCCCAATAGGTGAAAAGTGATTGCACTTAAGCAGAATACAAGGTTTAGATTGTAAGTAAGTTGCTTTTCTGCCAGGCACACTTGGTCAAGCATTTGACTATATGCTGCAGCGGTTGGTTCCAGTCGATGACATTCACGATTAAGGGGATGTGGTCGGAAAAGGCAAGTATCACCAACAGAGCTTCAATGAATATGGCTTTTGAGGGTTTAAAACTGCTCCTAGCTGCTGCATTGTCATTCTAGATGATATTGTAGCTATTCTGTAGGATTCTATCACTGCCCTGATTAGTACAGCAACAGGTCCTTGATTGTAAGAACCTTCTCCCATGACGCAAACTCGGAAGGCATGTTATACGCCTTCTTGACATTATTTCCCTTCCTACTTCCAGAATCAATGTGATTCATCTTTGTCCAATTGCTGTTAGCACCTCTGATAATATACAAATATTTATGAAAATCAATTAATCTGAAACATTGTCTTCCAATCTTATCAGTGCACAATAAGTGCCATAGCAGTAATTCTCGGAAGAGTAAGTCACGGTCTACAAAGTATCTACTAATTTATTATATATCAGCTGGTCCTAGTATACTACAAATAAAGAATTTATGAAGAGTATGCGCTTATGAAGCTGCCCAAAGAACTGATATCTTCCAAATATACTAACATAATACCGCGTGTTAAAATCTTTTTTGCAGTGGTAACAAAATACCATCAATCTATCGCTAATTATCTGATTCTGGTCAAATAACAACATCCAACAACCCAGTTTTAGGAACTCCCCCTTTGCCCTATACACACTGTGACTCTTATATTTTCATGTAATTTTTTCTGTGTATCAAATACGCAAGCATAACAATATACATAGTTAAGCGGGTAAGATCTTGGCGCTATATCAGACGCTGGGCTAGATGCATGCCTACATTTTTTTTAGTACCAAGCTCAACTGCATCCTCTTGCTGCCGCTCGCGCTGCCATTAAAATATTCTTGGAAAGTGACTCGAACTTTCTTGATAAACAGGGTCAAAGCATTAAGGCTAAATAATATGTTACTGGCAGTGCCTAATTTGATAGATCACAAAAGCACAATTCCTCAATATAGAGTTTTCTTGAGACATTCGTATGTGAAGGACCTCTACTCTTTTTCATGTATCATATTTTCGCTTTTTGTAATTGTGACTCATTTGCTGCTTTTATCTTTAAATACTGCCATTTTCCGGCCAGGTATAATGAAATGGTTATCTAAATCAGATGAGGGTTGGCAGTTCCACGATCACTGGTCAAGACTAGGTGTAAATTGCAAGTAAACATACTGGAAAGGCTCCCTTACAAGGTACAGAGCGCGAGTATATATCCAGCTTATGTTAATATTTTTGTCTGAACTTTCATCTTTAATTCCTAAGTTTGCTATCCATGACTCATATCATCTAAGTTCTAAAATCGAGTGACTAAATCCTGATTAAGGGTCACAAGAAGTGGTCCTGGTCTGCGTGCACAGGTAGCATCCTACGGCCTGATTCTAGAGCTGTCGGAGTAGACCCATCTTTGCACTTCGTTTAGCTTCCGTGCCGCGGTTATTTTGAATACTCATGTCCCTGCACGCACAGGGAACAGAAGTAGAGTGCCTGGAGCAGTTTTGTTCCTTGAATGACATTACCAATAGACTCTTCGTCGCCTTAGATAATCAGTGAGGACTAGGCTCTCGGACAAATTCAAGGCCATTGACTCAAGGATGAAAGATATGTCGAGGCTGGACTCTCTATGGGATTCTGATATGATCAGCAGTCGGGAAGCAGCGTGGTAGCGAGCCATTTACCAGTTACCAGATGAAAAGCCCTATGTGTCGCTTGCATTTGAATTTTCATTTTAGCTTTCATCATTTCTAGGTAGGTCCCTTCAATTCGATTCCCAGAGCATGACCCAAGGTTGAGCATGGCTTAATTTCTCGTCGCCGGACCTGATCTAGATCCTGACGCTTCCTTGCCTCTTCACCTCATCCCCTATAATGACACTGCAGACAGTAAGTACTATCAGAATTAAGCACCGAATTGACAACCGAAACCCGAACGTAGATCACTCACAAAGGCCCCTTCCT